CAAAATGTGAGAAAGACAATAAATGCGTGTTGGATATCAGACTTCTTAGACAAATATGAAATTTGAAGGGTGCATTTTTATATCCCCAGTGAATCCTGTTTTAGTCATTGCATTGGTCTATATCGGAGTCATAGGGCAACCAGCTTATTTTGTTGGCACCACTTCAAGAGAAGGCCGGTGGAATCAACAAATTCAGAACCCTATTTCATGACCTAGATCACTAGATCTCAAAATGGGCCAAGAAACCAAACCTACACAATCAGGAACCTTTGAAAAGGAACTCCAGAGTTTGTATTTTTAACAAATCTAGGTAAATCTGATGAGCATCCAGGTTTGGAAGAAACTCCTGGCATGAAAGATGTGCCCAGAACTCTCTTCGTGTTTGCTATTGGCAGCTGTCTATGTATAGATATAGATATAGATGTAGATATAGATATAGATATAGATATAGATATAGATATAGATATAGATATAGATATATCTGAACTAGTACATTAGACGAAAAAATAAAAAAGTCCTGAATCTCCTCAGTAGAAGGATTCGAGATACGCTCTTTAGAATCAGGTGATAAAAATTGGGTAACAAAAGTCTAAACCCGAGAGAAGCGTAAACCAAATGGAAATGGATTTCTCTCCCATAAACTAGTTCGGGGGCAGAGAGCACGGGACTGGATGGCAGCTCGGTCTCGGTGACGAGAATTTCCTCAGGACTCACGCGGGCATCCTGCGGCCAGCCCCCCACCTTCGTGGTCCAAGGTGAAATCCACGCCCAGGTCGCAGGTGGGGAAGCCGAGAGGAGCTGCATGTCAGGGGGCGTCTCCCCACCACCTCGCGTGCGTTTCTGCTCAGTCCTGTTGGCCAGAATCCAGTCACTTAACTTTTACCTGGTGAGACTTAGAAATATATGTTTGATTCTGGACAAATACACAACAAACAGTTTTTATTTCCATGGAAGAAAAAGAGACGAGAAAAATAGATATTAAGAGAAAATGGCCATCTCTGAAGCCTTCGACCACTCAGCCGAGGGGACACACTTCTGTAAGGAGAGAGAGAATGAATCATTGCATAAATGCCCTATTGATCGATCGATTGATTGATTGATTTGCTTTCTTATTTATTATCTGTGCCGTCTGCAACGAAGCAGGCGAATGCGTCAGGCCGTGGTTGGGCCGTCTCTCATGTCCCTTGGCAGTTTCGTGTCAGGGAAGGATTTTAGTTTTAAGCGATAAAGATGAAAAAAAAAAAAGTAGAATGCTGAGCACACAAAGCCCTGCACGCCGGCCTGGAGAAGCCGCCTCTGCACGGACCCTGCTGAGACGAGGAGCTGCCCGCACCCCAGCACCCGGGCCCGCCTCCCAGGCACGTGGCTCTCACGGGAGGGCAGCCTGTCCTCCCCGCCCCCAGTCTGCATGAGAGTCCTGTGCACCCCGCGGTGACCCCACGTACGGTGACCCGTCAGCTGCTCCCACAGACCAGTGTCCAGTGCGTTGGTGGCCGTGTGGGCTGGTTCCATCAGAGCTCTCCACCAGAAAGACAGAGCAAAATCACACGTGTAATTTGAAAACATCTAGTAGCTAGATTAAAAAAGTAGATCAGGTGAGGTTCATTTCAGGAACTTTGATTTAGCCCCAAATTCCAAAACTCCTCTCATTGTAACGTATATAGTCAATATACGGATTGTGTTTTATCTCCCCTCCCCCCCTTC